CTTCCATTATAACCACATTTTTGTATCCCCCCCCCCCTTTAAATTAAAGTGAAAAAAAGATTTTGCACTAATTGTCCTCTGCATTTGACCCTAAATGTTAGTGGTGCCATGGCAGCCCGGGGACCGACTCTAATTCTGAGGTGCCTTGGTCAAGAGCAATGAAAGGAGTATCTGAACATCCATAACATGCATGTTGTTTTAGGAGTATAATAATGATCTTTATGCTGGTTGGTCTCCCACCCTCGGCGGGCTATCAGCACAAATTATGTCCCCATGTGATAAAATCCACCATCCCCCCTGATTTTTTTTTACAACTTGAGTACTGATTACTACTATGAACAAAACAAAGCCAAGAACAGTTTTGACTCTCGTCAAGCGCCATCATTTCTATGATGAAGTTAGAGATCGTTTTAGCCCTGGGGTCGTCTCTGGCAAACTTCTTGCCTTTTTCAAAAGCCTCGTCGATAGGTAAAAGCCCCGGTGCCTTTGCAGCTGGCTTTGGATTCGGGTTTTTCTCAGCCTCCATTTATCTTTATCATTCAGGCATTTTTAAACACATAAATCTCCCTCCACAAAGTGTCCTTGTATGCTAAACATAGCCAGAGCATATGAACATGTGTTTCATGAGATAAATGAGATAAATGAGTGTCCGGGTAACCTAAACAGAGCTGCTCCATTTCAACAACGCTGTCCAGTCGAATCTCCAGTTAATGGAGTTTGCTCAGTGCCAATTGTCACACACGGTTATTTCCCATTTTAAAAAAAGAAAGCTCATTAGTCTCTGCAAAGGACTGGGCCAGTTCATTCTAATAAAGTGCTCAGAAAAAACAGTTTAAGTAAAGACTTTCTCAGTTTTGTATTTAAATATCACTTTATAATGTGTTTCTTTTGCAATAACTGTTAATGTTTGTATCATGTATTGTAAAGCACTTTGAATTGCCTTGTTATTGACATGCTCCATAAATCAACCTGCCTGGCCTTGCTTTGAGGGAAGTCATTTGTTATCTGTCCCGATCAGTAAATGATTTGAATGCTCCATAAAGCACATCACTGAGTGGGATACACACCTGTGCGAACATGGTGTTGAGAAGTGAATGGATGTGCTGTAGAATCAGCATAATAAATCAAGTGTCACAGCAACCAAGTATAGGAAAAGAAGAACAAATAGACCTGCTTTAATGGTACAATAAATGTAATGGAGAAACGATGCAACCTGCATGAATGACATGCATGGGTTTTAAAAGCTTTGTCATTGAAAATAGATGTTCTCTGAAAATGATGCTTTGAGATAAGAAAGATTAAACAAAAAATGTCAATAAAAAATTAGCTGAGAGTCACTATTAATCTCCGTAAAGCTGAGGGGAGCTGCAGATACAGATGATAATTCTCAGTTTGTTGCCTCAGTACAAGCCATCCATTTCCCATTGTTTTTATAAAAATACAAATAGCCGCTTAAGATCACTAAGCTCAAAATCTAACTGTGTTCTGGGCTGGTAGTGGCAGTGCATGTTCCAGCCCACACCACTGAGGAAGCCATTCAGTTTATGCTCGCTCTGTGTACTGAAGATAATCCACCTGATTGTAAAGTAACTACTGTAAACACCTAGAAGACTAACCTGGCATGTGGGAAGAACAGGGATAATCACTGTTGTTGCAGGATGTTCTCCGATCTGTGCAGAAGTTTGTATTACCTATCATACTGCGGTGGGAAAACTGGTTTGAAATGTAATACATTACATGCTGAAAGTATAATATTAAGGGTTGAACACAGACTAATCCTGATCCTCTGTGGGAAATACATTTGTTGTTGCAGCAGCACATAAATGCAAGAAAACCAAATAGGAAATTGTGGGGTTTAGCAAAACACAAGTGGCATTCCCCATACCGTGCTATCACAACATGAGAGGTAGAGATGAGACAGCATGGGAACAGAGCATTTATGATTATGGGGGGGGGAATAGCAGCAATGATTAACACACTGACATATTGTAAACCTTGGCAAGCAGTGGGCCAGACTCGTAATACTTGTTAGGCACAAATATGATCTGAAACTCTTTTTAATAATCCTACCGCCAGCTAAAGCACATCATAAATCCTCAAGTCATGTTCAGTCATGAGAATCAAGGGAGGACCTAAACAGTGTTTTTTGTAAGGCTTATATTTGTTTAATCCTTCTATAAATGTAGCTTTAAATTATGAACAATATTCTCTGGTTCCAGATTATCTGGGACTTGCTGCTTGTGGTGTCATACATTATAGTTAATCAAAAATATTTTGGTTTTGGTGTTGTTCCTGCAAAAATAGTGATTTAAGGCCACGTCTTTGCTCTCTTGGAAGTTGTGATGGGTATTTTTCACAACTTCTGTCTTCTGGATTTGATGAATCTGCTTATCATTTTCTCTAAAATGAATACATTGTTCCTTGGTCTAATACAATAAATAGAGCTTCAATGCTTTAACGATTGATGTATTAGTCTAACGGAGGCAAAAACTATTTCACACTTGACTTTGACGGAAAATGAATTCTTACACAATGGACTGATTAAGCGATTACCTGCTACCGACACTAATCTCAAACGAATGCATGTAATGAAATGCAATGAGTTCACGTTCTGTGTTCCTGGGTCAAATCTGGACTGTATGCTTCTTATTCTAATCTATGTCTGTTTTTTTATTGTGTGCATGTAGAAAAAGATGGGCTAATCTCATCCTGTCGTCAATGTTCTCTGTCACTGCCCACGACGCTGGACTGATTCAGATGTCAGGGATGAACAAAGATCCAACCACACTGAGATTTTGTGAAGATAACACCGTGGAAAAATCTGTGAAGTGCCACTGTAGTAAGTATCTCATTCCTTGAAGCACTGCACGAGGCTAAGTCTGTAACAGAGACGTCATGCAAGTTCTCAGAATCCTTTCCCACTTTAACTCCGCAGCGAGACAGAGTTCGAAGGTCAGGGTTCCCTGATTATCCCTGTAGTAATACACTGAGAGGCTGCTAGTGGCTGTCAGGTCAGCTTACCTGCTTTGTGGACGTCTGTATTTAGTGAAGGTCAAATTACATCTCATCTTCAGTGGCCAGCGTCGACACAGGGGTCGCTGGTGTTAAATGAACTTCAAACTGACGTATTAAAAAGGGATCAAGAGAAAAGGGCACAGGGTTCATTTTATACAAGCCGCTCTGACTCTTGCTTTTGACGTCTGTGGTTTAATTTTAGAAAGAATATTTTGGGGGAATCATATTTCACTTGCTGTGGAAAAACATGTATTTCAGCCAAATGTACAGTATTTGTTTTAATGATAAGAATTGTTTACTTTAAGATAGGATGAAACAAGAAACCAGTAAACATGCTTTTCCTGCGCCTTCCCTATCGGCTGTGAAGGCTCAGCTCTATTAAGCTAATAAACTGTCAAACTGTTCTTCAGTCAAGTCTAATAAGCAAAGCAAAAGTGTTAGCAAACATGACAACACCCCAGTTCAGGTTTATACTTGTATATTTTCCTCACAGTAAATGCAATCTGGTGCCTTTTATGCAGGTCTGTACAATGGCAACTTCCATGACAAATCAATTATTCAGTTCTTAGAGTCATGATGCGCAATACCTAAAAGTACAGATGAGCTCGCATGCAGAGTTAGTGAGAAAAATTGTGGAGCAACCCGTGAATAATGTTGCAAAAGCTTCCGTTTTCTCACGTTGCTTATGTTGGATTTTATATTGGATGACAGTCTGCCACACCTATAGCCTGAGAGGTCATGTTGCATAATATTATATTTTGGAAAAGATGTATTAGTCTGCGAGCATAATTAACACACCCTGATGGCCTCATACTGCTTTGTGCTCATCTGAGCCAGTCTAACCAGTCTGCAGAAGTGTAATACAAATGAAATGGCTGAGGCATGGATTTGTTCTTCCTCATTCGTTCCATCTGTTTCCTGAATAGACACAACAACAACCGCTTGCTCCTCTATACAATTAGTGTGGCAAGACGCAGTTTTGCATCTCATGTACTACCATTACATCGCTGTCACAGAGTTACAAAAATCCAAGCAAAAAATAAATAAATCCCAGAAAAGCCAGAACATGTTTTAAAAACACCACTGATCAAATTGTATTTTCAGAATCCTTAAAGATATTTTTCCAGAGGTTGTATTTGATGGTTGCGTTGAATTATGTTTCTGTTAGACTGAGTGATGTGTCTTATATTTAGTCTACCCTTCGTGATATGAATGGGGTGGTTTAAATATTAGAAATGCCTATCAATATACCATGCTATACAAACCTAAAAAATGACAACATTTGAATGAAAACCTCTTTAGAACAGTATTTTTTAAAGAAATAACCTTCATTTTTAGCAGAACTGTTGTATTTGGATATTCTAATACATTCATTAAGTGTGTTTATGTTGTGCAAATTGAGCAACAACACACACATCATTTCCGGCCTCTGTTTTGAAACAGGTTTATAAAAACACTGTCATGCCTCATATAGAATATGTTTTAATCAGAAATGTATTACTGTATGACAGGTAGAAACTAGGGCTATTAGGCAATGAAAAACAAGTATAAACACTCATATGGCAAGCCTCCATTAGAGTAAATGACTCAGGACTCGTCATGGTCAAAACAGAGAGCAGTGAATCAGTTCACATCCTGTATGAAAGAAGTGAGACTAATGATAAGTGTATGACTTGTTGTGAATTTAAATGGAAGGTATGAAGTCAAGAAAGCACAGAGCATGAATTAAACTTAGACTATGTGCTCCTCTGACTTCATGACATGTGCACCCACCCAAACCTGAGCTGAGACACTGAGCTGATGCAGGCTGTTGTTTACAAATGTTTTGACAGCAGGAGCTAAATTCATGGAGATTAGTACGGTCTTCAGAAGCGTTAAATGGATTAGGAGGATTACTGGTTCGTCGCATTTAACCTTGTGGTTCTCACAGCTAGTTTGTAACGTGAGCACACACTTCACACATGCAGGGGTTTTATCGTGTTTACCTTTTCGTCTTCGTCTTCACTTTCTTCATCCATTGTCGGAGTGTCGTTGTCGTCGTCCTCTTCCTCGAGGACACTTTCCGAGTCCGAGTTGTGTCCATCATCTGCAGAAACTTTGATGTGCACCACAGGCGACATTTCTTCCCCCTCGGACAAGGTGTTTGAACCGGACGACGACGACTCACTTCCACACGAAAAACAATGTTTCTGCTCCATTTTAAATCAACTAATATCACCGATTTGAAAGCAATAATGACGTCAAAACGAAGCGCAGTTATTAATTAACCTGTCCACGCATATGTCCAGTCAATTCATTTTCGTTTTGAGCCCATAAAAGGATACCACACTGACCAAGTAAAAACAAAGTCACGACGTTGCTGAAAGATATCGATATTAAAATACTTGTCGACCCGGTTTAGTATCCATGTGAGCGTTAGGCTGGTGTCCCCGCTTCAGTTCAGTTAAAAGTTCCCCCTCTGGATTGTGGAGCATTTCTCTCCCCAAGCAGCGCGAGTCCATGCTGTCATTGCCTTCATAATGCACAGCAGCCACAAAGTAAACCCCGCCCACAACGTGCTGGGCCGACCAATCAGATCACAGCAGCTTCAAAACCAAATAAAGGAAGATTTACTCAATACTGTGCAAATTCTACGTACCTGTATTGCCATTTTACCATTTTACACAAATGATTCTTCTACTTCCCAAAAAATCTCATTATGATACTTCTTACACCATTACATATGTCTGGAATTTTAATATCACTTTTCAGATTTTCTTTCAATATTGCCATGTCCAGTGAACAACATACCTCTAATTTAGTGATTTTGAATGTATCTAATAGACAAAAGGATAAGGTTTTCCTTTATGATTTTTTATATACGACCTTAAATAATTATCAATTTGTATTTTCATATTGGAATATTTATTTGAGTACATCTTCGACCACCGCTACATATTATACATCATACAATTCATAGCCTATTCAAGTAAACACACACTTTCAATTACCACTGTCAAAAATACATCTTAGCACACTGATTCTATTTATAGACATGTGCACATGAATATACTGTGCATAATACCAACTTCATGCATATTACAGTAAGTCACCTGTTACATTAATATTTAATCTTATCATTCTGCACAATTTAGTTTTCAAGGTTAATGTAGAAATGACAGTTAGATGTTAATGTGTACCTGTACCCTATTTATCTTCCTTAAATGTTTTTCTTAGAACTGTGTGTAAGTAAATTGAGAGTAGAGTCAATTTCCTTGTATGGTTACACATTTTTGGCCAATGAGGTAAAGCTGATTCTGCGTCTCCAAGTTTCTGAATCCAGGATGTGAAGTTTACATGTGCAACACATCACTGAAGTGTGCACACAAATATCCAAGTTAAGGGATTTCCAGGAACCTAAAATACTATTTTTACCAGCAGGATGAATACACTAATCTGGCGTACAATGAAAAAGTAAAAACGCTTATACAGATAGCAAGAAGTGTTTGGATTAGGAAGAAGAAGCCAAACTTGGATATTATTATTCCATGATTTATTTGGTATGTTTTTTTAAAACACACTCTCAATCTGCGAGGACAAAATGGTACCCATAGCTGGCCAAATAATCATCTTAATTTCTTAAGATTGGTTTGGTTCTCTCTGAGTTCATAAACACATTCAAATGCAAAACACAGGAAGAAAAATATTGTTTGGTGGTTTCACCGTCTTGATCATCTTGATTAACTTGGAAACACAATTGCCTGAGTTTAATCAGATGACCCCAGATCAGCCGTGAATGTATCATTCCTGCCGGTTGTTTACACAGTACTACAGCCATGATGTGATGGCCACACCCAGAGAACATCTTTCTGGTTGCCAATACTCTAAAATTTCCCACCACATTAATCCTGTCACACAGTTGATGGATCTCTGTTCATGATGAGCAAGGGGGTCATTTCCACTGGGATTATTATCAGTGTGGACGTTCTGTATGCAGAGGAAGACTGCTTTACTGATGATTCTCTCTAAAAGACAGCCGGTCTGGGAAGCCGGATAATGACATATTAAAATGAAAGTGTCTTTTTGATAAGGGGCTATCCTTGATCCCGCTCAGGAAATGTTCCTGGTCTCCTCTGAAAGGGCGCTCTTTGCCGTTTTCAATAAAAAAGTGAATATAAGTGATAATAAAACAGATTTACAGGGACTCAGTCATGATAAGAAAGGCTTTCTTTACATTATATTTTTCTTCTTTAATTATCTGACACCCCTGGATCACATCTGCATGGACAGGTGAAACAAAGTCATCCTAAAAGAGAGGTGCCCTGAAAACAAAATGTAATGCAATCAAGGACACTTCTAGTTAACATGCAAAGTTGTCTTTAAAGGGGATCTATTATTCAAAATGCACTTTTTGATGTCTTTTATACATAAATATGTGTCCCCAGTGTGTCAGGGAACTCACAAAGTGTCAGGAAATACAACCCTCTCTCTTTTCCTCCGTACCCAAATCTCTAAAAACGGGGGCAACACATCCTCACTCCCAGGTCGGCCTATGTTGACGTTATGTCAAGTCCTGTGTCGGCTTTTTCCAACGCAAGGGGGGGGGCCTTAGCGTCCATTTTCAACGCAAGGGGGGGGCCCTTAGCGTCCATTTTCAGCTTTCCGGGATGTCCATATGCTTCTATGGACGCTCATGGAAGCAGGCATTCGTTTGTGTCGGCTGCCCTTAAAGGCAATGTGAGCGTCCATTCTCATTGGATAACGGAGAATTGTACACCCGGAAGTAAGTATTCCTCTTACTGTCGATTGATTTGACAGTGATATCTGCACTACTCATCGACTAAAAAACACCAGATTATCCTTGTTAATTACACAACATTGATTGGTTTAAATTGTGTGCAATGCTTTTGTATTTGTCCCCTTCCATTCGGAGAAACAAATATTTTTTCGGAGTAAAGGATGGCAGAGGACACTACACTACCCAGAATCCCCAGCTATCGTTTGGACTAAACCATGTGCTCTGTTTGCCAAACCCGTGATAGTCCTCAAGCTCTGTGATTGGAGAGTGTGCTCCGAGGGTTACGCCGATTCTCGAACAGCACTTGAAATGGGATGGAACCATGCACGGCAGACTGTCCAAAACTGGATTTGAACGGGTCCACCGCGTCCCCCCCTCCCCCACCCCATCCCATCCCCAGAACTACACATGCTGGCTATTCTGTTTCGCAACATGTTCTCTATCTATGGCACGTCTCTACTGGGAGTTGTAGTTATAAAAGACGTTTTCGTATTTCCCATAATAAGAAGTTGCCAGTATTAAACTGTGTACATCCCTGGAGGTTTAGGGGATAGGAAACACTCACATTTAAAACATATAATTAATAAATGGGTGAAAATTGCTTGTGCCCATAATGGGCAGCATTAATATATATAGGCCTACACACATGCCAGCTAAGGTCAGAAGAGCTTTATTTAACAGCTGGTCTTATGTGTGTGACCCCTGTTGTTAATTGATAACATTACATTACATTAATTGATAAGCCTGAAACATGCACTTGTCAAGGTTCAGAGGCACATTTTGCAAATATGGCAGTAGCCATCGATCAGCTTAAGATAATATATACTTTATTGATCCCAAGTTGGAACATTTGCGTTACATCAGCATGTGTAACAGTTAAATATGCAGTGGTGTTTATTTGTAAATCATTTAGTATAATCACACAAATTCTGTGTTTTATATTCAACAATTCTGTGTTCTTTATTTATTGATTGTTCAATACCTGACAAGGTCGGAGATGAAATATCTACATACATCTTATAAGAGTATAATACATTATGTATAATATCAGTTAAAATAAGTGCTTCAACATAGTTAACATTGCTGGAGGTATATGCACAAATATTGATAGATGTCTTGTAATGCACTATTGAGGAACCTGCGACCCAAGTTTTTCATTCAATGCATAACTACTACACCATAGTTGTGTAGGCCTATATGATATGTCAATAAACCTTAGAAAATCTTGAAATCTTGAAAGGGATGTGCAAAATAGTCATTATATACAGTCTTTAATTAACTATTAGTAGAGAATAACGAGTAATGAATATACTTTATAGGGATCCTATTAATATCTAATAATAAAAATAATGAAATTCAATAACATGCTTTAACCACTAGGTGTCCCTTTATATCAGCTGTGCACCTTTATGGTGTAAATACAGCCTATCTACCAATTGGATCAAATATAAAAGTCAGCCGAATTAGTGTTGATACTGCAAGGAGACGTATTGTGTGAAAAGAAATGTAAGATGTTATTTAATGGATGATATATTTATGATCAACGTCACGTTTTCAGTTCCTCATGTTTGTCTAGAAGTCTTCTCATCAGGGCTCTATAAATACAGAACTACGGCAGATATGTAATATTTAATGCAGCCGAACCGTGTATTACAATGCCGGTATGTGATGACTTTCAAAGAGAAAAGCAAGCACACTCGGAATAAAGTATTATTTTTTTTTTTTTAAATGTTTTCGGTCTGTTTCCGGTATTTGTTAATGACGATGTGCTGTGAGATGTGAGACTGCAATTGCACAGGGGAAAATAACGTATCTTTAGATGCGGATTTTGTTAAACTAATATGTTTGCGCTGTGGACCAACACTATACATTGACGGGGAAGGGGGTAGCAATAAAGATAACACCATTAAACAGTTACACAACATAACAGAAATAATATCGATAGCAGCGTCCCTAGCAACCACCTTGGTAACAATGAAAACGTTATGGACGCAATTTCCTGAAGTAATCTTCGTAATAACTAGCAAACTAAAGATCATGTGGGCACTGCACACATAATCTGAAATAACAACTCATATTTCTCGCATCAAATGACATCAAAACGCATTTGAATGGCCAAACTAACTTTAAAATAGGCATTTTCCACCGAGAATAAAACGAAGTTCCGCCATGTTTGTTTTTTCTGCAGGGAGAAATGTGAAGATCACGTGACGTCAAACAGAGCACATGGTGTAGTCCAAACGATAGCTGGGGATTCTGGGTAGTGTAGTGTCTTCTGCCATCCTTTACTCCGAAGAAATATTTGTTTCTCCGAATCGAAGGGGAAAAATACAAAAGCATTGCACACAATTTAAACCAATCAATGTTGTGTAATTAACAAGGATACTCTGGTGTTTTTTAGTCGATGAGTAGTGCAGATAT